GAGGTCCATCTGCACCGATCGGTAAGAGCGCTCCGTTTTCTTGTCTTTGCTTTCCTTTTCTTATCCGAAGCCGGCGGTTGAATCTGACAGGCTCACCTTGGCGGATGCGCCTGTAAGGTGACCCTGGAGGAGTCGAGAGACGTCTCGACCCCTCGTCAGGACGTGGTGGGGGGGCCCTCAGAGGACCCCTCCTCCGTCAGAGGACTCCTGTGTGGAGTCCATCCATTTAAGGGGACCAGGAACCAATCTTAGAGTTCTGTGGCCCTGTCTGTATGGTTTTTGGATCCGTGTACATCAACACGGGTTCCAGAGACCCTCTGTTGCACCCGGGAATCTGTTAGTCTGTTAAGGCCTTGTCATTTCTTTATTGTCTGTTCTTGTGTTTGTTTTTTGTTTCTCTCCCCTTTGTTCATTAGCTTTCTAAACTAACCATGGGGACAACTCCATCTTCCCCCTTGGATTTAACCCTTGCTCACTGGCAGGACGTGCAAGACACGGCGAACAACAACAGTGTGAATGTCAGGAAGCGTAAGTGGGTGAGATTTTGCTCCGCAGAGTGGCCAACTCTTAATGTTGGCTGGCCGGCGGAGGGCACGTTTGATCTGGCCATTATCCAGAAAGTAGAGGAAATAGTTTTTAGACCCCGTTCGGGATACCCGGACCCGATTCCATATGTAGTTACCTGGCGGGGCCTGATTGATCGGCTTGAAGGTCCCCTGCCATGGGTCAAACCTTTCCTCCCTGCCAGGAAAGCCAAACAGACAGGTGGCATGCCTGAGGTCCTGCAGGGAGGGACTGATGAAACTGAACTTTTCCCCCCACCATACTCCCCTAGGGCACAACCGACGGTGCAGCCGACAGCACCACCACCAGAGCCAGCTTTGGCCCTACAACCCCCACGGGGTCCCGCACAGGCAACGAGAAGCCGCTGAGGGGCGATCCCTCAACCTGACACCACAGTTGCCCTCCCTCTGAGGCCGGCGGGACCCCCAGATGAGGACGGGAATCAGCCCTTCCATTACTGGCCATTTGCCACTAGTGATCTCTATAATTGGAAGGCACAGAATGTCCCTTTCTCTAAAGACCCCCAAGACTTAATTAACCTTTTAGAGACTGTTCTTTTCACGCACCAGCCCACCTTTGACGATTGCCAGTAACTCCTGGGCATCCTCTTCACCATTGAAGAGAGGAGACGGATCCTGGAACACGCCCGAAAGCTTGTCCCCGGGCCTACTGGAGACCCCCTGACTGATCCGGCTGTTATAACTGCTGCTTTCCCTTCTACCCGCCCCAACTGGGACTATAACGCGGCGGAAGGTAAGGAGAGTCTCCGAGTTTATCGCCAGGCTCTGTTGGCGGGTCTCAAAGCAGCGGCACGAAAGCCGACAAATATGGCCAAAGTCTATGATATAAGACAGGGAGTGGACGAGAGTCTGGCTGCCTATTTAGAAAGGTTAATGACCGCCTTTAAACAATACACCCCGTATGATCCTGAGTCACCGATGACAACACAGGCGGTCATACTAGCCTACATAAACCAGGCAGCACCAGATATTAGAAAAAAGTTGCAGTCATTAGACAGACTAGAAGAAAGAAACCTCAGGGAGCTAGTAGCTAGTAGCGGTGGCGGAAAAGGTATATAACAAGAGAGAGACAGAGGAGCAGAAGGAAGAAAGGAAAGAGAAACAAAGGCAACAAAGAGAGGATAGACGAGATATGAGGCAGGAAAGGAATCTAACTAAACTGTTAGAACAACAGCAGGCACAATTGGAGAGAGTCCTGTTGGCAACTGAGAAAGGAATTCTTAGAGGAGCTGGAACGCCCCAACCCAAGCCAAAACCCAAGGTAGGAAGAAACCAATGTGCGTATTGCAGGGAAGAAGGACACTGGGTCAGGAATTGCCCCAAGAAGAAAAAGGTACCGCATGTCCCAACGCTAGCAACCACTCTGGAAGAAGAAAGTGACTAGGGGGGACGGGGCTCAGCACCCCTCCCTGAGCCCAGGGTAACCTTAAAGGTGGAGGGGAAGCCAATCCAATTTATGGTAGACACAGGAGCTGAGAGTTCGGTCCTCCTGGCCCCTGCTGGACCCCTGTCCTCAAAACGAACCTGGGTACAGGGAGCCCCAGGAACTAAGTCGTATTCATGGACTACTCAAAGAACTGTGGACTTAGGCATGGGGAAAGTAACCCATTCCTTCCTGGTGATACCAGAATGCCCATATCCCTTGCTTGGGAGAGATCTCCTGTCTAAAATGAGAGCTCAAATTCATTTCTCAGACGAGGGAGCTTGGCTAATGGACCAAAAACGGAGGCCGATACAAGTACTCCTGACAACTGACCTAGTCGAGGAATACAGGCTCCACCTAGAACCTGAGGCTCCCGGGCAAGAAATTCAGGCTTGGCTCCAAAAATTTCCCCTAGCTTGGGCAGAAACTGGGGGAATGGGACTAGCGAAGCATAGGCCTCAGGTCTATGTAGAGATCAAATCAGATGCTGATCCAGTCAAAGTCCGCCGGTACCCCATGTCCCTAGAAGCAAAGAAGGGAATAACACCTCATATAAGGAGGCTTCTGAGTTTGGGAGTCCTGCGACCAATTCAGTCCGCATGGAACACTCCTTTGTTGCCAGTCAAGAAACCCCACACAGGGGACTACAGGCCAGTCCAGGACTTAAGGGAAGTGAACAAGAGAGTGGTGGATATTCACCC